TCTATGTAGCTTTGGCTGTCCTGGAACTAACTCTCTGTAGACCAGGCTGGCCTCAAAACTCACAGAGATCCCACCTGCCTGTGACTCCCCACTGAGAATTAAAGGTGTGTGCCATCACTGCCCAGCCAGAAGCAATTCTATATTCTGTGTCCCATGGTTCACTCTATTTGAGCCAAGACCATGTCAACTGACAGAGCATAAGAAATATTATGAGAATTTTCTAAAATGGCAAAAGAGGGCAGAGCTGCTTACAAGGTAAATAACGTGCAAGGAGAATCCAATACAAATTGTTAAGAGCTAAGACTATAGGTGTGTGCCATGAAGCTCAGCTAGTTACCTACTTTTAGTTCCTTATTTTTGAGATGGGGAGTGTAACTGCTTGAATAACTGTTGAAACTGTCTCAAGAGCTTAAATAAGTAGTCCAAAGTCAGAACAAGCCTCCAGTGTTCCTGTTATCTTTGGCTATATTCTCAGTTAAAAAAAAATAGCCCTTTATCATTCACCATTTTATTATGATTGATGTTATTTATTGACTGACATTTTAGCCCCCCTTGGTTTTTCAAGACAGGGTTTCACTATGTAAACGTATCTGTCCAAACTCAGATATCTGTCTGCCCCTCCCTTCCTTAAAAGATGAATAACTGAAAACTTCTGCCAGGCTTTTCAAAACATTCCAGAATAATTACAATGTACATTTGCTACTTGCACTATCATAATTTTTCTGTATATTTGGTTCTTTAATTCAATCAGAAAAAGCTCACAGTCCAGGCTCCAAAGCTACACAGAGAAATCCTGTCTCAAAAAAACCAAACCAAAAGAAAAAGTTCAGAGTCAATGATCCTACTTTAATCATCCATGTCAATAATTCCCATCACAAAAACCATATACTTGTAGCTGAGAGTGGTAGTTAACAAATCTCAGGAAGCTGAGGCAGAACTGTAAATTTTCACCTAACCTAAGGCCAGCTGCACTGGTGCACAACTCGTTGACCCCAGCACTCAGGAAGCAGGGGAAAGCATTATCTCTGAGTCTGAAGCTAGCCTGGTCTACAGTGTCGTTCCAGAACATCCATTGCTACACAAAGATACCTTGTCTCAAAAAACAAAACAAAAATAGAAAGAAAAGAAAAAAACAACTTGACAAAGTAACCAGCATAAATGAATAGGCAACAGACAAGTTATTCCCAAGTCTTACTATAAAGAATGGACTATCTAGCCAGATGGTGGTGGTGTACAGCTTTAGTCCCAGCACTCAGGAAGCACAGGCAGGAAGATAGATCTCTGTGTGTTCAAGGACAGCCTGGTCTACAGAGCAAGTTCCAGAACAACCAGGACTATTATACAGAAAAACCCTGTGGAGACACCCACAACACCCACACCCACAGAGACACACAACCACATGGGGGGGGGGAGGATGGAGGAAGGGAGGGGGGAGACAGACCAATTATCAATTCACAATCTTATTTTTGGGGGGACAGGGTTTCTCTGTGAAGCCCCTGGCTGTCCCGGAACTGGCTATGTAGAAGAGGCTGGCCTTGAACTCACAGGTATCCACCTGTTTCTGCCTCCTTGCTCTTCTGTTCACGATATTAATGATGTGCTTGATAATCTCAGTATTACTAAATTTGTGGTATGTTACTTTTAGTTGGTTAATTTAAAGCATATCTTTCCTAGCATTACCGGGTTATGCTTTATAGAAATTTCATGATTTTATCTATTTTACTTAATATTTTAGTGATGGGGATGGAACCTGTGGTCTCATATGTTAGGCAAAAAAACAAAACAAAAACAAAACTACCAAATGAGTCACATCTTCAGTCCCATATTTCACTTCTTAAAAAGACTAAACACAACTGGGCGGTGGTGGTGCACGCCTGTAATCCCAGCACTCAAGAGGCAGAGGCAGGCCAATCTCTGTGAGTTCGAGACCAGCCTGGTCTACAAGAGCTAGTTTCTTTCAGGACAGCCTCCAAGCCACAGAGAAACCCTGTCTCAAAAAAACAAACAAAAAAGAAAGAAAAAAAGAAAAAATATTACATGCTATGTTTTTATAACTATTCATAAGATGTGTTAAAGGGGTATTTTCTTCACCTGTAAGAGGTGGGATATCACGGGTAACTGTTTCTTCTGCTTCTTCTAAGCCATTATTAATCGATGGCCTCACTTGAACTGCTTGATTTGAGTAAGCTGCTCCATTAGCTGACGTAGTGCTGGTAGTTATTTCATCCACCTGTTCCATGTCAAGCTGCTTCACTATCTCTTCAGCTTCCACAGCCTGTCCTGGGGAATCTGAGCCTGACGTTCCTGAAATTGTCCATCAGTAAACTATGAGTCACTTCAAAACACAAATATTAGAAAAGCAACATGCAATCAAAAGTACAATTTATTTAGACGATAACCCATACAAAAACAAAACTGAGGGTACCATTGTTTGAAGTATCTATAAAAATCCCACTAAACAATGGAGAATAAAGATAGGCTTCAGTTTTTGCTTTTCAGTACTAGGCACTGAACCTAGGTAAGCCCTCTCCCATCAAGTTACACCCCTAGTCTCCTTTCAAGTTCTGAGGCAAGGTCTCACTAAGTTAGCCCAGTCAGGGCTTGAACATTCAATCCTCCTGCCTCAGCCTCCCCAGCAGCTAGGGATTACAGGTCTGTGCCACCAGGCATGGCTACAGTAATATTTATGAGCAAAGTTTTCCTTAAGTTCTCAAATAGTTCAGAAACACCTAATAAGTCAAATAACAACCACAATTTAGAACTTTCCATTAAAGTACTGTGTGTGAGTCATTTGATAAACATTCATTACCCCAAACAGCTCTTCATCTTTCCAGTTCAAATACACTAAACACTGTAGCCACGGAGGACAACTAAATTTTCAACCACAGGAATGTTATCCAAGAACGGGCTAGATATTCCCTAACTATGAGAATCTTTTTACTAAAAGACCCAAGACTAAATAATTTTTAAAAGATGTAAGAAAAAATTCCATTTTTAGTAACAAAGAATAGTTCCTTAATTCTTCTCAGACTATGAAATCACACCAAGTGTTTCTTTCTAGAATTCTTCAAGTATAATTTTAAACAAAAATAACAAAATTGACTTCCAGTTTTCTCAACTTCCTGAAGCTCTTCCCTTATTTTATAGTTAACCCTCTCCTAAAAGTATGTCTTTGCCTGGAACCCATCCCCAAAGTTTTTACTCTTCCAGCTCCAGTATACATTCATCTCCATTGCTACCAGTTTAGTGATTTTCCACTAATAAGCCAAAATAAATAAATAAATAAATAAAACACTACTACTTTCAGATTAATGTTTTGTGACTATGTGGTTCTTTGCTTCCATCTCCCATATACTACTGCTTAATTTTACAAGTCTAACACACAACTCCTAGCTTGCATGTAGCAGAATTAACACTTTGCCAACATTTGTACTCTCCTTTAGAGCTTCTTCCCTTCAGACTGAGGAAAAACACTGTGTCTCAGGTAAGTTCATACCCCTTCTTCTGACCCCAGATCAGTCAATAGCCTCTATTAATTTTCATTCCTCTATTTTCAATCTCTTACTACTAGACCTTTCTTTTCTTTAAGCATACGTATATGTTTGATATCATAAATGCAAACAATTCCTTCAGACTAAGTGACTTCATTAGGTTTTCTTTGACATTAAAATATTCACAGACCTCTACACTTTTGCCACCTTTCTAACTATCCATTTTATTCTTCTAGGTCAATAGTATAGAGCTTCCAAATTAAAGTGTTACTTTGAAATTGTTCTGGCAAAAGAAACCAATGCCCTTCGAATCATCAGGCTCAGTTAGGTTTTTTTAATGTTCACCTTCATCTCTTCTATGACAAAATGTACCAGTAAACCCCCCCCCCCTTTTTTGGTCCTTTCTTTAAAGTAGGGTTTCTCTGTGTAAGCTAGGCCCCAAATTCACAGACCTCCCACTATTCCCAGCTGAAAAAGATCTTTAAAATCTAGAAAAACTATAATTTTTAAATCTAAATTATAATGAAAGCTTAACTATCTAAAACAATGATTTTTACTTACCATTTTTATTTGCTGGTGAAAAAAAGTTGAAGACAGGAGAAAATATGGTCCCCAGCAATGTAGTCCTTGGGGGACTACCTGAGGAAGGATTATCTTCTAATTTCCCATTTTGTTTTATATGTTGATTTGTCATTTCATAACCACCAGCTTCTAGGAAACAGAAAAAAAAGTAATGTCTAGAAAACATTGCATTTCACGTTTTATGCTGTAAATCATTTTTTAAAGTTCTTTCATAGTATTTCATGTAGACTAACATTAATGTTCAAAAGTGCTTATTAAAGAAATCCTGGGAGAAATTCCTTATAAATCAAATGACTTTAGTCTATTTACAATGTTTTATAAATGTTAACATTCACTGAATTTTTTTCAAAGTTGATTTACAACTAAAGCTAAATAGACTGAAAGGTTTCAAAGCAGCACAGAACAACAGGAAATGAAGAAAATAATTATAAGCAAGCAAACAAGTTATCAATTCCAACACTCAGACAAAAGACTTTTCCTGACATCTATTTCTAGTGAACGACAGATAAATGAATGTTGATACGTATACTTTTACTTGGTATTGGAAACTGAGCAAGCTATGCAAGCACAATACTACGGAGGTCTATTCCTCCTAGCCCTAGTCCAAATATAAATTTGGTATTCTGCCTGTACTCATTTTAATTCAAAGGAAGATAATTTTTAATTTCACTTGATGCTTTAAATTAATACTCAGTGCAAAAATAATTATAAAAAACAAGGTAATAGCTGGGCGGTGGTGGCACACACCTTTAATCCCAACACTCAGGAGTCAGAGGCAGGCAGATCTCTGTGAGTTAGAGACCAGCCTGGTCTACAAGAGCTAGTTCCAGGACAGCCTCCAAAGCCAGAATAACCCTGTCTCAAAACAAAAACAAGGTTAAAAATGCTCCAAATGTTTGTTTTTGCTTTCTGAAATGGTATTTTGATTTGTTGCCTAGCCTGACCTCTCAATCCACTGAGGTTACAGGCATAGGATACCATACCTAACCTCAAAGCAGGTTTTCAAAACAAAGAACATAGCAGGTGAAGAGGGATTTATGCTTACAGCTAAAGGAAAGATAGCATCAAAACATCAACAAACCTCCATTGACTGGACTTTTCCGTCTTACTCGAGACAACTGTTTGTTAGGCTTTTCTCCAGCTCTTGGTGTTGATGTAATCAAATTATTATCTATATCACGTTCAATTCTACTCCGTTTTGAAGGAATTTCTCTCTCTTCCTTAAGACATAATAGGAAAAATTTCATTGAGCATAATTACTCTTTCATTTTAAATGAAATATACAATATTAAAGTGTTAATGTTGTTATACTACACAACTGTAATGACAGCATCCCCAGAACAAGTTTTCTAAGGCTCCTAAATTTTCTGTGTTCCTGAAACACTAAATTTTCAAATTCAGTGAATTATTAGCCAATGTTACTATTTATGTCATCCAAGATTCCTCACAGAATACACGGTTAACAGTAAGTCAGACTTAGTGAACAGGCCTATAAACACTAGCAATTGAGAGGCTAAGGCAGGACTGCCCCATTTGAGGTCAGCCCAAGATACTAGTAAGACCTCAACTTATGAAAACAAAACACACACAGTAAAAAAGAAAGCACAATATTACTTATAAAGAGACAAAATTACATAAATATGTTATAATGAATCTGTACTTGGGGCACAATCAAAACAAAAACTGATTCAGGGCAATTCAGGATACTAACTGGGTGACCATGTACGGATTGGGGTGAAGAGGAAGAATTTTTCCTCAGCTTACTAATTGATATACTAAGCTTGGTGTGGTGGCTCAATTCCACCTGTAATTCCACACTCCTGGAGACTAAATCAAAACTGCTTGCAAAGCCGGGCAGTGGTGGCACATGCCTTTAATCCCAGCATTTGGGAGGCAGAGGCAGGCAAATCTCTGTGAGTTCGAGATCAGCCTGGTCTACAAGAGCTAGTTCCAGGACAGCCTCCAAAGCCACAGAGAAACCCTGTCTCAGAAAAACAAAAAAAACAACAAAAAAATCTGTTTGCAAGCTCAAGGTCAGCCTGTGCTACATGGCATATTCTAGGTCAGCCAGAAGTAGAGCAACTCTGTCTCAAAAGACAACCAAGGGGCTGGGGCTGTAGCTCAGTGCTTATTTAGCATGAACAAAGCTCTGGCTTTGATCCCTAAAAGCCCAAGCAGGTGTGGTGATGTGTGTTTTGTAATCCCAGCAGTTTGGAAGTAGACACAGGAGGATCAAGAGTTCAGGGGTCATTCTCTGATACATAAAGAGGTTACGGTGAGACTAGGCTACATGAAACTGTCACAGGAAGGAAAAAGAGAAGAGAAAATTACCTACTTATTATGGTCCTGGGCCAGGGAGAAGCCTCAGCAGGTAAAGGCTCCTGCCGCCAACCTGATAACCTGAGTTGGATCTCTGGGACTTTTTATGGTTTAGAGAATTGACTCCCAGTTATCCTCTGACCTTCACACATGTGCTTTGGCACATACACACCCATACATGCACATATACAGGAACATAACAAATAAAATGAATAAAAATGCATATTATGGTATTTGAGTTATTTCATTCTAAGAATTCTATTACTAAGGTCAGGCATGGTGGTGCAGACCTTTAATATCAGCACTTGGAAGGCAGTAGATGGATCTCTGTGAGTTCAAGGCCAACCTAATCTTCACAGGGTTCCAAGACAGCCAAAGCTACAGAGAAACCATCTTGAAACACCAACCAAATAAATGAATAAATAAGTTTTTTGAAAAAAACCAAACCAAACAAACAGTATTACTATCCAAACCCTAATATGAAACATTTCTTCAAGGAATACTTTCTTCTGTTGCTTTGCTCTTGGAGACAGGGTTTCTCTGTTTAACAGTCCTGGCTGTCCTGGAACTCTGTAGACCAGGCTGGCCTCAAACTCACACAGATCCACCTTCATCTGCCTCCTGAGTGCTGGAATTAAAGGCGTGTACTAACCCCCCAATCTGGCTCTTCAAAGAATCTTTATAGAAATGCTAAGTGCTAGATATGCATACTGCAGGGGACAGAGTAGGAAATACATAAATGCAACACGAACACTGTTTGGGAAAGCACGGTGCTGCATGCCTTTAATCGCTGCACAGGAGAAGACAGAAGCAGATGGATCTCTGTGAGTTTTAGGCCAGCCTGGTCTACACAGCTAGTTCCAGGCTGGCCCAGACTTTTCTTAAGACTGATTCAAAACAAAATAAAACAAATGACCTAACAATGTTTTTTAGATAAGGGACATAAATCCAACAGTGAATCATAAAATGGAATTAGTTTTATGATCATCTTTAAAAGAAATAACAGAACAAAAATGATCAGAGTCCATTACAATATTGAGAGTTAAATATTGGGTTTATAGCCAGACATTGGTGGCACACGCCTTTAATCCCAGCACTCAGGCAGAGGCAGGCGGATCTGTGAGTTCAAGGTCGGCCTAGTCTAAACAGTGAGTTCCAGGACAACCTCAAAAACAATACAGAGAAACACCGTCTCAAAAAAAAAAAGAAAAAAAAAAGAAGGAAAAAAAGAAAAAATTGGGTTTATAGCTCTTTACAATCTCACCACTCTGGAAGCTGAGGCAGGAGGTACAATCTCACCACTCTGGAAGCTGAGGCAGGAGGATTGCTCCGAGTACCTATCAGGCTAGCCTGGGTTACATGAGGAAGGGGAAGCCAAAGGGAGACCTCAGTGATAAATTGTTTCTCCAGATTACAGAATGCCATGAGCCCAATTTTTAGTAATGTGTGTCTGCATCTATAGCGAGTTTTGTTTTGCATATGTAATATAATATAAAAAATATTTCCCTCTGTAGATCATGATTAGGAGATCCGTAAATATGGATTTACTGTGAGATATAAATATTTCAGCATTTCACTAAAATTATACCACATCAAAACTGTGAAACTTTCACTTCAAACATATATTAGAAATCCAAAAGCAGAAAGGCTGTATGTAAATAATTCCTGAGTGTTCTTGCTAACAGTTTCAAAATTCTAAATCAGAAGTGTTGAGCCTTTGAGCCAAAATCTAGATTTGAAACAAACTGAGGATTCCACTTACTTTGTTAAGGGCAAATAAAGGGGGAGAAGAGCCAAGGGTGGTGGTAGCACATGGCTTTAATCCCCATTCAGGAGGCTTAGGTAGGCAGATCTCCTGGGAACTCAAGGCCTGCCTAAACTACATGGTTCAGTGCAAAGTCAGCCAGGACTACACGGAAGATCAGTGCTTGGGAGCAGAGGCAGGTAAATCTGCTTCAGGCCAGCTTATTATACATAGTGAGTTATATATACTGAGCCCAGAATCAAAACAATTCCTAAATGTAAAAAACAAAAATAAAACGAAGGAGTTAAGCCAGGCGTTGGACTTAATATTCATATGCTGAAGCTATACCTCAAAATATGATCATAACTGAGCTGGCGGTAATGGCACATGACTTTAACCCCAGCACTCAGGAGGCAAAGGCAGGCAGATCTCTGTGAGTATGAAACCAGCCTGGTCTATAAGAGCTAGTTTAAAGCTACATAGAGAAACCCTGTCTCAAAAAACCAAAAAGAAAAAAAGAAAAAAAAAAGGATCATAACTGAAGAAAAGAGCTTCTGAAGGTAATTAAGGGGTTAGAGAGATGTACCAGTGCATATTCTTCCAGAGGATTCTGGTTCAATTCTCAACTGTCTATAACTCCAGTTCCAAAAGTTCAAATGTCCTCTTCATAGGAACACTGTCATACATACATACATACATACATACATACATACATACATACATACATACAGGCAAAGTACCCATGCACGTAAGATAAAAATCTCAGCAGGGTGGTGGTGGCACACGCCTTTAATCCCAGCACTTGGGAGGCAGAAGCAAGTGGATCTCTGCAAGTTCAGGCCAGCCTGGTCTATAGAGCTAGTTCAAGGACAGCCACGCTGTTCCACAAAGAAACCTTGTCTCAGAAAACAGAGAGAGAGAGAGAGAGAGAGAGAGAGAGAAAAGGAGATATAACCAAACCTATCCCTATACACAAGCCAAGAAACTGTTATTTTTCAAAAATACTTGTCCCAAGAAATATAAAGTCATAAAAAAATCTATACCATTATTAACAATGCACATTTACGACATACTTGGAAGTTTCTAAGACTGATTTTCCACTTTGTACCATCTAGTCTGAAAATGATTTTGAGACCAAGCACTTGGCACCAATCCCAATCTCCCTGAGGCTTAGAAGAGTAACTGACTTCCTTAAGTGGTTTAATACTAACTCATACATCAATGTAGAAGATACATATCCTTCCTAGTCCAGAAGCCATTCTTTCTTCTAATAATTTTGTTTCTTTAATAATTCAAAAGAATGAAGAAAATCCTCTTTTGCTTTCTACAATACTATGTTGAAAACCAGAAGGCTAGTGGTATAGTGGCACACACTTATAATCCCAACACTCAGGAAGTTAAAGCAAGAAGGCTGCCATAGTTTGAAGTTTAGCTGGACTACATAGCAAATACCTCTCAAAAATAAATTGCCGGGCGTTGGTGGCGCATGCCTTTAATCCCAGCACTCGGGAGGCAGATCTCTGTGAGTTCGAGGCCAGCCTGATGTACAGAGCAAGTGCCAGGATAGGTCCCAAAGCTATACAGAGAAATCCTGTTTTGAAAAACACAAACAAACAAACAAACAAAACAACAACCATGATAGAAAGCTATCATTAGTACAGTGGAATGTCTGTCTTTCATTAAATATCTCATATGTAATATTACTCAAAATAAAGCCAAAATGTGTATAGCCCTTAAAGAGGGCTCTATCCGGGTGTTGGTGGCGCACGCCTTTAATCCCAGCACTCGGGAGTCAGAGGCAGGCAGATCTCTGTGAGTTCGAGGCCAGCCTGGTCTCCAGAGCGAGTGTGCCAGGATAAGCTCCAAAGCTACACAGAGAAACCCTGTCTCGAAAAACCAAAACCAAAACCAAAACAAAAAAAAAAAGAGGGCTCTATCAATATCAATTTCTCTTCTATATGCTTAGAGGAAACAACCTAAGCATGATCTTTTTATGTAGGCGTAGGGTTAAAGTATTACCTTGGGTGTGCTTCCTTTAATGAATTTTTTAATTGAAGACAATAAGCCAGTTTCATTCTTTGATGGTTTTTCTCCTCCTGAAGGCAAGCTATCATCAACCTCTGAGTATTTCCTTTTTGCTCTGGCAGTGCGCTGTGTTTGGATTGGACTGGGTTGCTGAGAAGCCTTCCGTGTTCTCAGCTTCATCTTTTATGGGTGCCACATGTAAACCTGTAGGAGAAAAATAACATAAGTTATCACCCAATATGTCCAGTTATTTTACACAACAAAATTCTACTTCTTCACAAGGTAGGGAATGGGTTTGTCCTTTTGACCTTAAGCTGTATTAAGGGTAAAACCTATCATTTGATGAATGAACTTCATAAATATAATTCTAAAAACTAATAATCATGTAAGAGTAACAAAAAAGGCTGGATCACTTCCATATGAGTTCAATTTTACCACACACAGTAAAATTGGATTTATAGGTCAAGGTGTAAAATACTGTACAGCATGTGAGGTCCCAGGTTCTGCCCCCAGCAACACATATACAAATGCTCATATTTAAAATGAAACTATTGGGGGGAGATGGGCTAGAGAGATGGTAAAGCAGTTAAGAGCACTTGCTGCTCTTCCAGAGAACTCAGGTTTGATTTCCAGCACGCACATGGAGGTTCACAGCAATCTTTGACTCCAGTTCCTAGGGGATTTGACACCCTCTTCAGGCCTCTCCAAGTACTAGCACATACCTGGTACTCAGATGCTCATGTAGGCAAAACACACATTCAAAAAATTTTAGAGGGCTAGAGAGATGGCTAAGAGGTTAAGAGCACTGGCTGCTCTTCCAGAGGTCATGAGTTCAATTCCCAGCAACCACATGGTAGCTCACAACCACCTTGAATGAGATCTGGTGCCCTCTTCTTGCCTGCAGGGTTACATGCAGAGCATTCATATATATAAAATATAATTTCATTTCAAAAATATTTCATAAAATAATGAACCCATAAAATAACTATACATTGCTCCAGTCCCTAAAACTGTTAACAGACTGGATGAACATGGGCCAGCATGAGCTAACATGAGATCTGAGATGCTGGAGCAACCCCTAGTGTAGGAAACAATGAGTCCAAACCAAATTCTCTCCCCTAAGGTACAAAACTGTGAAGGCTCTGGAGGGGTGGCAAGTCCAGTTAACACCTAAGGCACAAGAGAAGCTATCATTAAGGACAAGAAAAGGGTGGAAGATGCAAACTGCCACTAGGATAGCACTCACCAGGTAACACTGAGGCACGGAGAATAAACAAAAGCCCAGAGCTGGATTCTGAGCAAAATAACAAGGGAACTTAAGACAATGATGCAGGAAACTGAAACTCAACTTTTTTTTTTTTTTTTAAATGGTTTTTCAAGACAGGGTTTCTCTGTGTAACTGTCCTGGAACTCACTTTGTAGACCATGCTGGCCTGGAACTCATTGAGATTAGCCTCTGCCTCCCAAGTGCTGGGATTAAAGGAGCATGCCACCACTGCCCAGCAAAACTCAACTCTTGACTAGGCTATCCCAAAGGCCTTCACTTACAAGTCCAGGAATCCAATTTTCCAAATACATTCTACCAGCATTTACTTTCTATTCATAATATTCAGTATTCAGTAAAATATTCCAAAAGCTGGCAAGGTGGCAGGTTGAGTAAAAGAATCAGAAAAAGCATACAATTTGTCAATATTGGGAATGAAAACTTGAACCAAAGACTGTAGACTTAGAAAGAATTATGGAGAATTTCCAAACCATTTACATTCACCAATTCAGGTAAAATGGGCAAATTCCTCAAAAGATGAGTCACAAGCAGGAGACAGTGTGGCACACAGCTGTAATCCCAGCACTCAAGAGGCCAAGGCAGGAGTATCTGACTTCCAGGCCAGCATGAGACACAGCAAAACTTGTCTCAACAAAAATCCAAGCATTACACAATGTTAAACAGCCCAATTAACCTCATATTTAAAACGCAATATATAGTAAAAAACATATGTAAAACACAAGGTCCAGATGGCTTCACTACAGAACCCAATCAACACTTAAGATATATTTATTTTATGTGTCTAGGTGTTTTGCCTGCATGTGTATTTGTACCAGAAGATATTCAAATCTCTGGAGCTTGAGTTACAGGCACTTTGCGAGCTGCCTGATGAATTAACTGGGTGCTGGGAACTGAACACAGGGTTTCTGGAAGAGCAGTATGACTCTAAGTCACTGAGCCATCTATCTCTATAACCCACCACACAATTTTTCTCTATAACACTTAAAAAGATAGGAGAAGACTGGGACATGATCGTGTTTAGTAAATAAATCTAGTACTAATGAATGAAAATGGTAAAATGTGATAATATTTTAAGTCTAAGAACTTGAGACATAAAAATAAAGCACTCATTTTTGTAACATTCCAACCAGATCTCATTTAGGATTATAAAGTTTGCTGCCCAGAAATCTAAAACAAAAAAAACAAAAAACAAAAAACTGGGCAATAGATTTGTTTTGCAGTTACTTGATGCCCAGGTAAACAAATCCCCAAATATCTTCTTCCTGTTGTATTTTTTTTCTCCTATATTTACCCACATAGCCTACCAAGAAACCTAAACTCCATCAACCACCTAGTTGTGACATCCTTCCCTTACCCTCTATTATCAAATTCTGATTTTTAACCTCTAAAATTAAATTTTCAGTCTTTCCCTTTAAATCCACCCTTTGAACTACAGCAGTTTGCCTACTGCTCTTACCTGGTTTCTCATCAACTGCTTTCCAATAAAAACTAAACTCACTGGCAAATATATCATCCAACAATACGTACTGCAGTGTGTGTGTAGGGGTGCATATACATGGAGGTATTCATGTGTGGAGGACATCAGGGACGCTCCTCAGTCTTTCTCCAACTTAGTGAGACAGGGTCTTACAGAGCCTGGAGCACACAATCAGCACTGGCAATCCACTTCCCCCAGAGAGGATTCCCAGGTACAGTCTTTCTTCCTTCATTGTTTTTTTTTTTTTTTTGCTGTCATTCTCTGTACTGCAGTAATCATAGTTGCTGACACTCTGTACTCTCTAACCATGTTTCCGTCCTCTTTACCACAAAGATTATTTCAACTAATTATCTAGTTATCCTCACTATTTAAAACTCAGCCCAAGTATCATATAACCAATAAAAAACCACCCCCACACCCATAAACTTCTATAAACCCTGAGGTCATCTCTCCCTTAGCTCCTACTAAATTACACCAAGATAATCTCCTTCAATAGATGTGTCCGGATGGCAAGGACAGGAGATGTAGTTCAGAAGCTGAACCCTTGCTAAGCATGTAGAAGCACTGCAAAGAATTTAAAAACTCCTTAAGGCAACCATCTAATCCATAACCCTAAGAATCTGGCGCACACACAACCCAGTCTTCGTTGAACTCAACCCAATTTTCCCATTTCTCTCAAAAAGATCACAGGAGAGAAAATTATATCACTGAAATAATCAGAATGTTTTAGCTGGGTGATGGCACACGCCTTTAATCCCAGCACTTGGGAGGCAAGAGACAGGTGGATTTCTGTGAGTTCTGTGGTCTACAGAGCTAGTTCTCTGTTACACAGAAAAACCCTGTCTCTAAGAGAAAAAAAAAAGTACAAGCAAACAAAAAAGATGGCTCAACAGGTAAGGATGCTTGCAACCAAGCCTGACAACATGAGTTCAATGATTGTAAAAGGCTGAGCTCAGCAAGACGATCATGCCTATAATTTTGAAAATGAGAGGAAGACCACTCCAAGTTTGAGGCCAACCTGTGCTACAGATCCTGTCTCAAAATATGCATGCATACATATATACTAAATCAAAGTGAAAAACAAGTCATTGATCCAACCTGTCCACATCCTTGTATCTTATACAAGTAATCCTATAGCACTTTAATTAAATATTTATTACACATGTAAAAGTCTTCATAATTAGCCGGGCGGTGGTGGCAGTGCACACCTTTGGTTCCAGTACTCAGGAGGCAGAGGCAGGTGGATCTCTGTGAGTTCAAGGCCAGCCTGGTCTACAAAGCTACACAGAGAAATCCTGTCTTGGAAAACAAACAAACAAAAAAGTCTTCATAATTGGACTGGCAAAAGCTCAGCAGGTAAAGGTGCTTCCCATCAAGCCTGATGACAAGTGTTTGATCCCCAGAACCCACATGGTGAAAGTCAAGTCCTAATTCCTACAAGCCTCTCACTGCCACATGTACGCCACAGTGCATGTGTTACACATGCACACTCACAAACTCACACACATACACACAGTAAACAATATAAACCTTTTTAATTAAAAAAAAAAACCTCAGTTTGAAAACAATGAACTTATTTTTAGAAGAATTAAGAATTTGTTCTCCACTAAATCTAAAATTCTATGATTAACTCTTTATCTTAAAAATCATTATGACTCCTAATCATTATGACATCCATGAAAGAAAAAGTAATAGTCTACATTCTAGTGTGAAACAAATGTTCTGCTGTTAGATGTACCCATTTTCTCTCTCCTGCTTACCTAAGTCACTAAAGAAATTCAGAGAGACTTCTCTGTCACCTAATAAAAACAGACAAAAAGTCAGCCAGAGATACAGTGAGACCATATACAAATGGCTATTAATGAAGTTTAAACCCAATTATTTCAAGGCACTCAAAAGTGCCACCTTCCATTATACTATTTCATCTTTCTTTAAAAAAAAAAAAAAAGAGGCTGGGCAGTGGTGGTTCACACCTTTAATCCCAGCACACAGGAAGCAGAGGCAGGCAATCTCTGTGAGTTTGAGGCCAGCTTAGTCTACAGAGCAAGTTCCAGGACAGCCAGTACTACACAGTGAGACCCTGTCTTGAAAAAAAAAAAAGCCAAAAAAAGGTACTTGTTCTACAAATTATTGCAGCTATTATGAAAGCCTGAATACTAGAAATCCAATGGAATACTAGTAATCTTCCTTTCTTTCAATCTACTATAGAAAGCTATGCATATCGTGAAATATGGGATCCCAATATAGTTAACTATCCTATTGTGACTTTATGTCAAAATTTTATTTGTTGCCTGACATGGTGGCTTATTTCTGTAATGTAAGCACTTTCGAGGTAGAGGCAAGATGTTCAAAGGTCAGCCCCTGCTACATAAAAGATTCAAAACCTATCTTGTCTGCCCTGCCACAAAACAAAATAAAAAGCCTTTGTCTATAAAGTCTTATCTTAAGGCCATACTTAAATCTCACTGTTACTTACTGCCAGGTTCACAAAAGTACCAGAGGATCACTGGAGACCAAGAGTTTCACTATGTAAATTTTATTCTCATTATGCTCGTCTTACCTAGACAATACTCTTAAATTCCACATATCTCCGGATCACAACCAGTATATAAAAATTTAACTTTCTTTGCTGGGCAGTAGTGGTGCACATGAATCTGAGTTTGAAGCCAGCCTGGTCTACTGAACTAGAAGAGCCAGCACTACAAATTTCTCAATTCTACTGTCTCTGAACCCTCACCTATGTGTAGTTTAACAAGCTATTCTCACTTATGAGTAAAATACAATGATATTTTATCTAAGAATTTGTAATTTGTTTTGATACAAGTTCTTTCTGTGTAGCCCTGGCTATCCTGAAATTTGATCTGTAGACCAGGCTGGCCTCAAAGTCACAGAAAACCACCTGCCTCTTCCTCCCAAGCACTGGGATTAAAGGTGTGTGCCACCATATCCAGGTGAATTTGGAATTTTTAAAAATACTTTATTTTTATTTCATGTGCTTTCATGCTTTGCCTGCATGTATGTAAGTGTGAAGGTGTCGGATCACCTAAAACTGGAGTTATAGACAGTTGTGAACCACCATGTGGTTGCTGGGAATTGAACTCAGGACTTCTGGAAGAGCAGCCAGTGCTCTTAACCACTGAGTCATCTCTCCAGCCCTGAATTTGTAATTTTAAACAAAGCATTTCAGAAAGAATTCCATAAGACTAAGTATATACTGGTGGGGCATGCCTTTAATCCCAGCATTCCCAGAAGTCAAGCATGGCAATTCTCAACAAAATCTCAACCAACTAGGTCTACTTATTTGTAAGGTAGGTTCAATAACAATTCAATACACTTTAATTTTAAAAATGGATGTACTCAATGGCTTTAAGAGGATTTCTGGGAGTTCAGGCCAGCCAACACTACACAATGGGGCCTTTTGGGTTTTTTTTTTTTGGGGTTTCAAGACAGGGTTTCTCTGTGGCTTTGGAGGCTGTCCTGGAACTAGCTCTTGTAGACCAGGGTGGTCTCGAACTCACAGAGAATCCACCTGCTTCTGCCTCCCGAGTGCTGGGATTAAAGGCGTGCGCCACCAACACCTGGCCCCACAGTGGGGCTTTTTAAGAGAGAGATTTAAAAAAAAAAAAAAACATGTACTCACATGTACTCATACAAACATTAGTCCTTGTATGGCTTAGGTTAAGGCATAAAGATGTTAGGGTAAGTAAGCAAAAACTGAAGTCAAAATTGTTCATTCTAGCAAGTTTCATGCCTATTAAATAGCCTAATTTTGGGACATGTTGGCACTAACCTTTAAATCTCAGTGCTCCTGGTTAAGGAAGAAGGATCTTAGTTTGAGTAAGCTTGGACTACATAGCCAGACCCTGTCTCATTAAAAAACAAACAAACAAACAAAAACTAGTAAATAAACAACCTCATCTTCAGTGTAGCACAAAGCACTCCCTATAGCCAATCCAGTTTAAAATATGGTTTGGCAACTTTAACCAACTAATAAAAATTAGTTGGTTGGGCAGTGGTGGTAAAGCCTTTAATCCCAGCACTAGGGAGGCAGAAGCAGGGCGGATCTCTGAGTTTGAAGCCAGTCTGGTCTACAAAGCAAGTTCCAAGACAGGCTCCAAAGCTACACAGAGAAACTGTTTCAAAAAAAAAAAAAAATTTACTTAAGAACATATCATCTCACATATTTGACATTTGTGACTTAAAAGTATCTTTTCCCCTTATATTTCCATAACAACTTGAGAAGCTGGGTGTTGGTGGTGCACACCTTAAGTCCCAGCACTCAGGAGGCAGAGGCAGGTGGATCTCTGGGAGTTCAAGACTAGCCTGGTCTACAGAGAATGAGATGCTGCCTTTTTCAAATTCTGGCAAACCACTATATTCATCAATCAAAGTACAGTGTATTGTAACCAAGATAACTTAATTCTACTTCACTCAATCAACAACTGATTCTGCAGTTACAAGTCTACTGTCCTTTCCAAACAGGTCCATGTCTTTTAGAGGTAGGGCCTCATATAGCACAAGCTGGCCTTCAACTTGTAATACAGCTGGGGGTAACTTTGAACTTCTGATTCTTCTGCTTCCATCTCCCTGACAAACCACTATAAATGGCTTATGTGGCGACGGGGATTTAGGTAATAGAACCCAGGGCTTCCTGCATGCTAGATAAACACTCTACCAATTGAGCTACATACACAGCCAGATGTTGTTATAACCATTCCAAGAAGCCATTTGACCAAAAATCAGTCTTGGAATATGCTAGGTTAATTTGGAAAAGATACACTTTCCAATCACCAATTTCCTAATGGTGGAGGAAAAATTAACATCACCAGCTCAAATGAAATGTCCAAAAGGCACTAGCACTATGCAGAACAGAATATTCTAAAATATACCTATCCTATTTGGCATTGCTACACAATCCTATTATTGCTAAACAGCTAAACAGCACACAAAAGTTAAGGACTACACCACTTAGAAGCTTTTACATCCTTTCAAATCATGCACACAAAAGTATTAAGAATATAGCCGGTAGGCAGGCGGTGGTGGTGCACACCTTTACTCCCAGCACTCTGGAGACAGATGCAGGAGGATCTCTGAGAGTTTGAGGCCAGCCTGGTCTACAGGTGAGTTCTAGCACAGCCAGGGCTGTTACACAGAGAAACCCTGTCTCAAAAAAAGGAAAAAAAAAAAAAAAAAAAAAAAAAAAAAAGAACAACAAAAAAGGATGTAGGTACTAGGACTAATTGAATGTAATACTAACCAACTTGGAAAACCTTGGAGACAGTCTACAATACTGACTCTTACCTATAAACTAAGTATTATCAAAAAACTATCCCAAAACATCTTACAATACAAAGCCTGCATTAGACACATAACTTATTCTAATTCTTCTAAGTAGCATAACTGACCCCATTTCTTAAATAGACTCCAAAGTAGCCAGTATGTCTACACTTCCACTGATGAACCCCCGTAAGTCAAACCATCCTAAAAAAGCAGTGAGGCTCAGTTCACTCCTAAGACTACTTCATAAAAGAGCTACATTTTACTTTGACTTCCTTTATGACCTTGGGCTAAGTCTTTCGAATGAAAACTATAATGATGTTTGCATGTGCATGTTATTACTGAAACTCAATCCTAACATGAACATGAAATACTCTAGGCTCGACCTATGGAGCAGAAAAATACTAAATGATAAACATTATTTGATATGTAATACAAGCCATGTTTTAATCTTCATTTTTATCCATGAAGGAAAACACCTATAATGCCCCAAATTCTACAAGACTAAAACACTGGGGGGAAAAAAAAAAAACCCTGAGGACCTCTTTATGTTTAGAAAAAGTGAGTAAAACAAATAGCTTCAAACTGCCATTTCCAAGCTTTTATAAAGATAACTGCTAGGTCGCAAACAAAAATGTGTAACTTGGCGTCTGATGAATGGAAATAACAAGCAATCTACGATCTAAAAATTATGCAGATAAGCCTATCATTTCATGTCACTAATTTGTATACCACGGAAAGGAGTCATCTTGGTATTGCCTGACTAACATTAGAAAGATAAATTCCTGCCTTGGAGTAACATCTATTAAATACATTCATCTCGGGAGTTTAGGGTAGTTTCCCAGCAGTATCTCCATAGGTTTCCCTGAGGCGCTCCTGAAGTGCCTAACATCATTCACACATTCAGCTACCACTAGGGTGAGAAGTAAATAAACACCATTTACTTATGCAGTTATTTATAACAGAATCCTGGTCAAGCATGCAAAGGTAAGCTCATAGGACATACCCAAAGTAAACAGCATGTTAACTATAGTATAATTAAGATTCACCCATAACTGACCACTATGGAAACCAAAGGCCTCCCACCTAGTCTGATTTTTACTACCACTATTGATTTTTTTTTTAAAAAGTAGTACTGTCAACTCAACATTTTACTAGTACAGAAGACACAAGTTCCTAGAACCTCTCTCTCCACATTCTCAAAAGCTGTTCCTAAGAACTGAGCTAGAGCAACGCCCCCCCCCCAAAGCACCCTACAAGAATAAAATTACCGAAGGTCCGAAAAGGCAATCTCACTTAATTAGCCATAAGGACCACCGGGTCAGAGAGTAGGAACGTGAGATGGGGTTTGGGGGGGTGGGTAGCACAGTGAAATCTAACCCCAGAAATCACAACACAGGCCGCAGCCTAAGAGCTGAAGCTGGCGGGAAGTGAGCTCCCTTTCCGTTCCCAGGGGAAAGTCCAGGCCAGAGCGGCTTCCACACCGTGGACGTACAAGGCGCCAACAGTGCATGCCTACGGACGCGCTGGAACCGCTGAAGGCTCGGCTTGGGAAGGGGAGGAGATCCCGACAGACGGCCCTGGAAGAGGACTGAGCTTGGGAGCCACGGCAGCGTCTGGACCAAGGGAATTACCTTCACTGTGACGACAGAAAAGTGTCCTCAGGCTCCGGCAATGGTCCCGAGTGCGCAATAGGTGGTGTCTTTCCCGCTTAGCCCTCAGCAGCAACAGAACCAGCTCCTTCAGCCAGTCGCCATTTCCCGCCTACCGACCTGCTGCACCGCACGGACAGGGACCCGGATGGAAAGCGGCCTCTGCGCGCAGGCCCCCCCCCCCCCCCCCGCCACTCTCGGGCTAGGCGGGAGGGAAGGAATGCAGGAGGGCCTGGGCGGCGGGGGCGGGAGGAGGCGGTGGAGGGTGCAACTTTTACTTCCGTGAAAAGGCTTAAGTTTCTGCCGCCCTGGGGAACTCACCGGTGCGAATTCCTGACCAAAACCAAAAGGGACAAAAAAAAAAAAAAAAAAAAAAAAAAA